CCAGACAGATGCAGGTTAAGATCCTCCCTGGTAAGCCAGCTCGTGGGCTACGCAGAATATTAGAAATGGGTTAGAACAATATGTAAGAGCTAGCCAATAAGAAACTGGAACTAGCCGGGCCAGGCAGTGTTTGAAAGAATACAGTTTCCGTGTAATTATTTCGGGCATAAGCTAGCCATGCGGGCGGCCGCGTGCCGGGGACGCAGCCCAGCCGCTCCTATTTCAACATAATAGAAATGAGCGAAGGGGGTAACTGGTAAATAGCCCTGTTTCCCTCTCCTGTTACTTACCGGTTTTAGGTAAGCGACATTGCTGTGTCGGATGTCATTCAAGAGCTGGTCTCTGGGAGTGATTTCCACCAGCGGGGGTGGCCTATTTCTCGGCACCGGCTTGAGCGTTTTGATGACATCTTTGAGGTTGGTTTTCTCCTGTGCCTCTCCGGCTTCTGGCGGCATTCGAGATTTGCGCTGAATTCTCTTCAGCTTCACCACCTTAAAGGAGTCAGGGTCGGTCTTGCTCTGCGGAGGTTGGGGTGGATTCTTCATCATTTCGTTTCTTCCACCAAAGGCGACTTCCTGAGCAGTGAGAGGTCGTCCGGATGAAGGCTGGAAGAACTCCTGCATTCTGGGATCGGGCATGGGTCCCCCCAACCTCTCCCACATCCCAGGGGGCAGCCCCAACCCGTTCTCCAGCATAGCTATCAGCTTTCTCTGCTCTCTAAGTTGCTGCTGTTGCTGCTCCTCTTGTCTCTTCTGCCTCCGTTTATCCTGGTTCCTGGTAAGCAGATTCGTTACCACCATCCTGGGACCCGGAAGCTCGAAATGGTAGCCCATCTTCAGCAGGGTGTTGTTGGCCTTCAAAAGCCTTGAGATTTCCATTTCGGCGTGGTGGCCCAGCATGTGCCTCTGGTTGTGAAAACGAAGTTCGGTTAGAGTCTCATTAAACTGGAGGCACCTCATGATGGCCACGATGCCCTTCCCTGTGATGAAGTTGGACTCGATATTAAGCGTGGTGATGCTCCTGTTTTCACGCAGCATGTTGGCCAAGGCGAATGCTACACTCTCGTCTGCACCGACGTTGGCCAAACTAAAGCTTTTGATGTGTTTGTTCTTCTTCATTGCATTGACAAAGTCCAGTAACATTTCCTTAGGGATATTCTCAATGTTGTTCAGGTTGAGCTCCTTCATGTCGGGGTCGTTCTGTCTCACTCGTCTCAAGCTTCCGTCCAGGTCTGTCTGGTTCCCTGAAGGTCTTGCACTTATCTTCAGAAAACTGGTGTCTAGAGCTAACTTCTTTGGGTCTAATTTGGCTATTTTCTTCTCGGTTTTTTCTTTGGTCTCTGCTCTGTCTTTTTGCTCTTCCAGTGTTTTCATAGCCAGCTGCTGGCAGGTGCTGGGACTGTTTTGGATTTGTTCCTGTGCTTTGTTTTTTTCTCTTTTGACTTTTTCATGTTCATCTTCATCCTCTTCATCTTCCTCCTCATCCTCTTCATCTTCCTCACCATCCTCTTCATCCTCTTCATCTTCTTCATCATCTTCTGTTTCTTGTATATTGTTGCTCCCGTTGGATCCCCTTTTATTTGCAACTATTTCACTGTTGAGCTTTTCTTTTAAAAATTGGGGCATGGTTTTAATGCCTCTTACTTCACGCTGGTTTTGAGTGCTTTCCTAAAAGATAGGTATATGACAGTTAGAATACATAGGGCTCAGCAGTTAAGAGTATTTGCTGCCCTTCCAGAGGACCCAAGTTTGCTCCCCTAAACTTATCTGTGTCTGGTTACTTACAGCTGCTTGTAACTTCAGCTGTAGAGATTTTACGCCCTCTTCTGGCCTCGTCAGGCACTGTATGCAAAAACACTGACACTAATTTCACACAAACATGCTCCTCAAAAGTGTGGGTGGACACACACAATTAAAAATGAAAACAAATCTTCAAAACACATTTTTAGCCAGGCTGCGGTGGTACATGTCTTTTATGCCAGCATTTGGGAGGCAGAGGCAGGAGGGTTTCTGTGTGTTTAAGACTTGCCTGGTCTACAGAGCTAATTCCAGAACAGCCAAGCTTAAGCAAAAAGACCCTATTGGAAATCCTGTCTCAAAACAAAACAAAATAAGAACATTTCTAGGGCTGGGGAGATGGTTCGGTGGGTAATGTACTTGCTACACAAACCTGAGTATCTAAGGACCTGAGTTCAAATCCCCAGCATCCACATAAAGTAATATGAAAGACGGGAGATAAGAGACATGAGAACCTCCGGAGGCTCATGGGCCAGCTGGTCTGGCGTAGGCAGTGGTAAATAGAGACCCTGGACTTAAGGTGAATGCTGAGGACTGGCACCTGAGGTTGTTTCCCCACCCCTGCACACATATATACATAAAAGATTTAAATGGTATGGTAGCACACACCTTTAATCTCAGCACTCAGAAGGCAGAGGCAGTCAGATCTCTGGGTTCTGGGCCAGCCTGGTCTAGATAGTGAGTTCCTGATTAGCCAAGCCTACATAGAGAGACCTTATCTCAAAAACAAACCAAACAAAAACTTAAATGAAAAACATTGTAAACAAAAAAGCTCAAGTTAACAAACCTTGTGTATAATACTATTCCATTTATATATACAAAAAATGTATTTATGCTTATGAAAAAAAATTCTGGAATTATTACCAAATTCCTGGTTTTTGTTTGCTTTTTTTTTTTCTGAGTCAGAAAGGTGACACTTGGTACAACTGAAGAAGAAGGGTCTGTTGGTTGCCCAGTGTTTGTGCTATATGGTCTTATGTCTTAGGTTTGCCTTGTCTTCTGATACAGAAGACCCTCTACTAAGCAAATACAACTAAATAGGGATGGACTTTTGTAGACACACAGTTGGGGCTGTGCTTATCTCCTTCCAGACATACTTGTCTCTGAGGTTCTTTGGGAATTGATTCTTGGAACACCAAAATTTATGGGTACACGCACACACTTGTGTGTGTGTGCGCGTGTGCATGTGTTATGAGAAATATACGTACATATATAGGTATAGACACACATACACATATATATCCTATACACCCCTCTTCCCATGCAAGCAGTATTTTACATTGTCTCTAGACCACCTAATACCTACTATGCCAATAATGTAAACAGGGATACTGTATTGTTGAAAAAAATGAAAAGAAAAAAATCTATATATAAATATCCAGTCCACATGGCAAAACAAAACAGCAAACAAACAAACAAAAAACTTTTTTTTTTAGTGTTTTCAGTTCACAATTCTTTGAATTCAAGGATACAGTCCCTGAGGATACACAAAGCCAAGTGCATTAATAAGACCTAGTTAATTTTGTTTTCAGAGTCTTTATTTTTAAAACGTGGTGTTAAAACTTATTTGGGAACTTGATGATACAAATTGTAAAGTCTGTGTGTCAACGTGTTTATGTGTAGTTGAGCGGGAAGGTTCGCACTCACAGTGCTGTGTTAAGAAGTAATTTCCTTATACCCTACACTTAAGTAGCCTTCCTAATGTATCCACTGCTTTCGTCGACTCGCACTTTGCATTTCCTGAGATTATGCCAGGAAATGGGAGTAGTCTGATAAGCTAGCGTGTGTTTTTAAAACCTCGGTTTGGATCCTGGCTCTGAGCAAAACACCATCGTGTTCTAGTCTCACTAGTCTCTGAAGCAAACCACTTTGAAGGAAGAGCCAGTCTTAAAATGGAACAGGGTTAGGGCGAGATTTACAGCTCTTTGCTGCGTCTGGGAGGGGGAAGCGGCAGTCTTTCAGGTCAGTGTTTACTAGATTCTCGTGCATCGGTGACTACACTTTGGATCCACCTGTGTTTTTTTTTTGGCCAAGTGTAACTCTAAAAGCTTGGAGAAGTCTGACACTCAGTAGTCTGAGCAAGAACTTAGTGATGATGATGATGCATTGCACGAGTTGACTTAACTTCCTCCTAAAACCTGCACCATCACATTCCCCATCTGTCCCAGCAGGGGGAGCCCAATCATCCAGCTGTTTAATGTACACCAGGGAAGAAACAAAGACCCTGGTCCTGCAGCTCTCCTAAAATGGGTATTCAGGAGCGATTGTCTTGGAACCCACGGACCTGCACTTGTAAGAAAGTCTGCAAATGACACGGTAAGCTCTAGCCTGACCAAGCCAGATGTTTACGTCCTGGAGTTCAGATTGTGTTTATGTCCCCTACTCCCATCACACCTGCGTGACAACAGGGTGATGAGGTTCACCTGTATCTAGCAGGCGGGGCTGAAGACACTGTACTTTGGAAATTTGTCTTCTTTTTTTCCTCAGTCATTTTTAAGTGCACCGTTAAACTTTGTGCTTCAGTGCTGTCACGATGGTTCAGCAGGTAAAGGCACCTGCCACAACTAATAACAAAATGTAATTAACAGCATTAATTGTGCTTTACGTGTAATTAGTTTGTAGAGATCATGTCTCAAGAAAGAACTCTCTTGAAAACTGCCATTAGCCATCTATTTCCAGGTGTCATGTTTGATGCCCAGTGCACAGAGCGCCCACATTCTCAGTCGTGGGTTTGGTTTAGTGTACATGGCCAGATTTCCTCAGAACTGGGGAGTCTTTGACATTATATGTAGAATATTGTAGGTGAAGAAGTAGGATGGAGATGGGAGGGGAGGGGAGGGGGGCAGAAGTTTTGATGAGATTCTCAAAGGGAGAAGCCAAAAAGTCAGAACAGCTTCTTCTGGGTTGTGAGTTAAAGCATTATGTATCATGGCCACAGACCACGGACTCCACAGAGAGACCCCAGTGTCACTGTTGGAAGAGACACTGACATGAAGCCATCACCTCTCCCCCTTGCAATTATACCATTGTTCAGAAAGTTACAGCCGGGATAGGATTAATATTACGATTTAATTTAAATGTGGCCAAATCCAAAACAACCACATACTGTGCTCTTGAGAAATCACAATTGCAAAACAGACCCTGCTAGCCCAGACCCGGCAGCCCTTTGTGTCCCACATAGATCCCTGGTTACCTCAGACTGCACAAAACTGACAGGAACGCGTTCATCTTCCACCATGCGTCTAGAGGCCTTCTGCAAATACATGTAATCGACGAGAGACTTATGGTCAAAGTTTCCTGTAGGTGCTTTGTTGGTCTGATCTTTTTGGATCATCCCCACAGGAAGGTGGGGGTCAGGAGCCATGACTTCCATCTCCGACTGCAGCTCCTTCAGCTCTTCGGGGGACAGGTTGGCCAAGAGCTCGTCCTCGTTAAGCTCCTCACTGAAGACGTCTTCTTGGTCTGAATTTCTGCTGTGCTCTGACATTCTTTACTTTCACTATTTGTTTCTAGATCACCAGAAAAGAAGAAATCATCTAAGATGATTAAAAAAAAATAATAATCAGTACGTGTCAGTATCTTCCAGTCAACAAATAACCCAGGTCAACCCACCCTTGAGCTCGGTTCTCCCTCAATGGTGTTTGTTGGGCTGTTGGGAGTAACTACGGCTTAGCTCATGTGGGATCTATATTAAGCAAGGTTTTCTGGGCAGAGTTAAGTTGTGGAGCTACTACACAACTCCCTTTTCGGCAACTTGAGTCAGCCGTACAAATCCACCTGACATTTCCGAACAGCTGCCGGACGGGAGGAGCCAGTCCACAGAATCTGTGCAGGGGGAAACCGCATTCTTTTCTAATGCCCTCCCCGTGGCAGGGTCCAACTCCGTGCAGCCCACACCTACATGCTCTCGGGCTTCAGGGGGAGCCTGCTGCGGCTTATCTATCCAGATCACAACACATCAGAATGGAAATCCAGCCAGCAAATGCAGTTTCTCCTGGTATAAAAAAAGGTCCCTTGAAGGTGGAAGGTGAGCTCCCGAGCTTCACCTCTTCTCCTCGGCAGGCTCTGAAAGCTGCAGTCCTGAAGAAAAGAAGAGCTCAGCTCTTGCTCTGGTATTCACCCCTGTGTAAGCGAAACTGTGCCAGCTGCCCTTATCTGCATCTAGATCCTGTGACCTGACAGATGGGGATAACAGGCCCCTGAATTTCCATGTAAGGCAGGGGCTGAGCATTTTAAGCCATTTATGTCCTTGGTAAGCATCCATCAAAGCTAAATAAATTAAGATGAATCTGCAGAGAATTTTTTTTTAATCAGACCATTAAAGAACTGGGGGGAAAACTGTGAAAATTTTTTTTTGTAAATGAGAGCAATAGTTTTTTTTTTCAAATTACAAATATACGTTTATGTTACAGAGCTAGAAAGAAAATGAATTTTTCACCTGATTTCCCTGTTGAGAACAACTGCAGCAAATACTCTGGCTTAGTTCAGTCATTTCTTTAGAAATAGGAACTCCATGCTACTGTATCACCTTCATGGTATTTTTGGCAGTTTGGACATGAAAGGCAGGAGTTTGGCCATGGAAGTCAGCAATCTGCCCTGGCTGTATCCTAGCCCTGTGTCCTTTGGTTTATTGTTTGTTTCTGATCTAAAGTAGCTTTAGAACTCACTACGTGGGATGGCTGTCCTTGAACTTGCAGCTGTCTCCTGGCCTCCAACACCCAAGTGTCCTGATTACAGGCATTCATCACCACATCCAGTCTGCTCTCTGTGTTTTCTAGTTGATAAAAATCAGGTTACTTTTGAGGCGGTTATATATTCTACAACCACATACTTTTTAAGATCTCCCTGTCAGGAACTATAGTTGACAAATTTCATAGTTCATGTAACCCACCCTTAATTGTTACATATATAAACTCTTTTCATTTATTTTTTTTCCCCCTTTGAGACAGGGTTTCTCTGTAGCTTTGGAGCCTGTCCTAGAACTAGCTCTTGTAGACCAGGCTGGCCTTGAACTCACAGAGATCCGCCTGCCTCTGCCTCCCTAGTGCTGGGATTATAGGCGTTCACCACCACTGCCTGGCATGTTTTCATTTCTACAAGTACAAACAGTCCTTCAACAAACATCTTACTATCTCCATATTTGTATATGTCCAAGTTTATTTGTTTAAGGTAATTGGATAGATTCTAAGAAATCAAACCGCAGGATCAAACAATATGGAAAAACTAAATAATTTTCATGTGAATGCCTAAGTGATCCCCTTAGTGTTTTTGCAATATTTTTATGGTATGGGTAAATTATAGACATACTATTCCTCATATGTGTGTGTACATACATACATACATGTGTGTTTATGTATACACATACACATATTCCCCCATGCTCCAGAGTTCTGCATCCAGAGTTAACAAATCAATAAACAAAGCATTTAAAAATAATTGCCTCTGAACATGTATGTGCTTTTTTTTCCCCCTAGTAATTATTGTCAAACAGCACAATCTGTCATATTTCAGGGACAGCCACAGAAACAGTTAAGAGAAAACAAAACAAGGTTTAAAAGAAACAGAACATTTAAAAAACTCTTCCACGAGAGAAATTGTTATAGTAACAGCCATGAACAAAAGAGGCTTTACAATTTCTGACAGTTGTACAGAAAGCAGCCAAGAGCCTGTTAGATGGCATTGCCTGTATAGGACTAGCTTTGAAATGTAATTAAGAAATCCTCCCTAGAAAAAGGACCTGAATTCTTCCGGATTCTCACTGATGAATGCCACTTGTTCCCACATGTCCAACCGCCTCCGATGATCAAGCTGATTGAGGATTGCTGCAAGGAGCCCTGATTCCTCTGACAGCATCTTCCAGGGGCAGCAAGTGGGTAAATCTCTGCCAGCTGCTTCCCCGGGCACCTGACTCGCCTGCTAAGAGAGGGTTGTGTGGGTCTGATTAGCCTCCTTTGACCCTCGGATGAGTTCGTGTTCGCTCTTCATGATGTCTTTACTGCGGCCACCTCTGCACCTTCCCACATCAGCACCCAGCACGAGGGCCAAAGCAAGTAGCTACCTGTAGGGATGTCACCTGCGTGACCCAACAGATCAACTGACTCCGGATCAGGTCTAGTGGAAGGAATGGAGCCAGCTCCCTCCTAGAAGCTCCTGAATCTGCATTCTGAAAGTTGGGTCTTGGGCTCCATGCCTTTTTGAACATTCTCTGGTGATTCTAACATGGAAATTCAGAACATTCCAAGATTTTACCTGCCTCCAAGACTTTGCACATGCGGTGCCCACTGCTTTTCTCTGGGCTGTGCTCATCTCTCAGACTTTAATGCTAACCAGAAATGTCGGACACTACCCTGGGCGTGACAGGCCAGGTTCGAATAGTTTGTCAAGGTGTGTGCTGAGGGCCTGCTTTGCGCCCTGTACGATGTTAGGTGCCTAGGAATGTGGGCGTGATCAAGACAGAGAAAGTCACGTTCTGGTAACCATCATTTCTGGTTACAGCAAATGCTAAGGAAGATGGATGCCTTACGTTAGAGAACAGCACTGGAGAATGACTCTGCCCGGGAGGGAAGTCCGAGAGACGAGCACGAGCGCAGACCCCTGAGAGCAGCGGGAATGGTATGCGCACCGTTTTTCTGGCAAGTAAAATCTTGGAATGTTCCAGGTCCTAGAATCTAGAAAGTTACCACAGCCTCACATGACTGACAATTTAGGTACGGAGAATTTGGGGGCAGGGAGGAAGACAGGGCCAGGCAAGATCGTTGACTGACACATTCCCCATCACATGAGTATGTGACTGTGTGTGTGTGGCCGGGTGAGGGGAGGCTTGCAGCTTGGAAGAGTTCCCTGTTACTCTCCTGCTCGAGTTCCCATAGTGACATCTGTAGTCCCAGGATCCTTCACGATCTGGACCCTGCTGCTCTACTCCTGTGTGATATCAATCAATCCCGGCAACACACTATCTGATCCAATGCCAGCCAACTTGAGAATTCCAGGATTGGCAGAGCCCTTTGCTGTGTCATAGTTTGGAGCTTCTGCCCCCCTCCACCCCCAGGCCTTCTGGGTGGAGCAACCTTTATTTATTTATTTATTTATTTATTTATTTATCTATTTATTTATTTATGTCTCCATCATTTATTGACGTCATCTCTTTCCCAAATGCATTTCTCTCACACCCTTGTCTAGAACTGGGCACCTGCCCCACAGAGCTGTCGTTGCCCGTCACTGGTCCATCCTGTCCCTCCAGGCATGTCTAATTGGCAGCCCCATTGTCCACCTACCCATAGGATAGGAATGAAAGGAGGCCAATACAGAAGGTAGAATTCCCTAAAACATTGTGAATCTTTCTGTTGCTGGTTGCTTGTACTCTTTACTCTTTGGGAGGGACCCACCATCCGCTTCCCAGAATAATACACGGAGGCTTATTCTTTTTTAATGTCTAGCCTTAGCTTGACTAATTTCTAGTCAGCTTTTCTTAACAATTATCCTGTCTTCCTTTTGCCTCTGGGTTTTTCTCTTTCTCTGTTCTATATACCTTTCTTTACTTCTTATTCCATGATGTGCTGGGTAGCTGAGTGGCTGACCCCTGGTATCCTCCTCTCTTTCTTTTCTCGCTCTTTCAATCTTCTCTTCCCAGATTCTCTTCCTATCTATTTTCTCTGTCTGCCGGTTCCACCTAGCCTTGCTCCTGGTTAGTTATTGACCATTCAGCTCTTTCTTAGACCAATCAGGTCTTTTAGACAGGCAAAGTAACACAGCTTTACAGAATTAAACAAATGTAACATAAAAAAATGCATTATATTAGGTGCCTTAGGCAGGCAAGGTGAAACAAATGCAACACATGTTTTCATAATTAAGCCAAAACAATACAAATAAATAACACATCTTTACATTTTTAACAAATACAGCATAAACAAATAAAACACACTGTCACATAATTAAATTAACTTCACCGCATAAAAAAATGTAACACACCTTTGTATAGTTGAAATAATATTCCACAACACTGAGTTTTTATGTTTCCATAACAGGCTGATAATTGTCCTTTTGTCTGTGAAGAATTGGATTAGAATTTTGATAGAGGTTGTATTGTATCTGTAGATTGCTTTCCATAGGATGACCATTTTTACAGTGTTAATCCTACTGATCCATGAGCATGGAAGATCTTGTCATCTTCTGATATTTTTTTCACTTTCTTTCTTCAAAGACTTGAATTTTTATCATATAAATCTTTCATTTGTTTGTATACATATACCCCAAAGATATTTTGTATTTTTGAGGATTTTGCAAAACATGTTATTTATCTGAAAAAAATGCATTATATCTTTGCATCATTAAACAAATGTTCCACAGCATAAACAGATGTAACACATCTTTAACTAATATTCCATAGCATCTTTCTGTGATTTTTTTTCCTAACTCAATTATGCAATTCCCAAGTATAAACTATTCATGACAACATAGGGTCTCAATGTCAAAAAGTTTTACACACACACACACACACACACACAGAGCACACTTTGTAAGACATTTGGGGAAAACCTAAATGACACAATGCACAGTAACTTATGAACATTAGTCATTAGGTGTGCCCAGTATCTAACAAATATTGTTCAAAAGTGGAAATAAAAAGGCTTTCCCATGTTATTCTCTCTAAAACACATATGTAATACATGCACAAAGATGTATGAGTCTTAGTCACATATAAGAAGTGCAGACGGTCAGAGAATGCACGTATCTTTCTTGGGTCTGTCTACTTTTTTAACTTTTTCATTCTGCACTGATCCTGGTTGTGAGGATGGCGGATAGACCATCTCTTGCTTCAGTTACATCCCCTGGTTAAAAATGGACACAGCTTTCGAATGGCTTCCAAGCAGTAGTAAATAAATCAGTTCTGGCCTATTTGTGGTATGTTATTCCCTTGTGCAATTCTGTTTGGATCTCCAAGGCTCTGCCCACTGGCTACACGTTCCCTGAAGAGTTCATCAGTGTCATACAAGTGCCTGGATCTCTGCTCAGATGTCCCTGACTCATGGTGCAATTCTTCAGAATGGGCTCAGAAATGGACGAGGCAAACGTTTCTCTAAGACCCAACACTCAGTCTGCCTTTCCTTCACTAAATCCAACTCAGTTACAAGGGGGCACACTCATCTTTTTACCTTGATTGTTTTATAAACAAATTAACTTTTTAAAAATTGAGTTGGAGCTGGAGGGATGGCTCAACGATAAAGAGAACTTTTGCAGAGGACTCAGGCTTCGTTCTCGGCACCTACATGGTGGCTTTACAACCCATTCATATTCCAGTTCCAGGGAATCCCGTGGCCTATCCCGACTGTCTCTTTCACCAGCTATGCACACCGTACACATCCAGACAGACAGGCAAAATGCTCATACATATAGAACAAAAATAAATAGAAAATTAAAAGGCTTGTATTAAATTGATTTTATTAAATTGATTTGGTTTTATTTCAAAGGTGAATGAGGGTGCTATGGCAATCCTATTAAGGCAGCTAATATAGACTGACTGCACAGCCCAGCCATTGTGATCTCTGCTGTAGCTATGACTACACGGCTTCTGTTTCTGTCAATACCATTTTCACTATTAATGGAAAAGGTCCTGCTGCTGTGGCCGCTACTGATCTTGCTATTCTGCTAAACTTATCAGGTACTTACCACTACGAAGCACGTGACAGGGGCTTTTTATATGTGTCAAACCCCCCCCCCCAACCTTGAAAGAACCATAGACATTTGTCAGAACTGACACAAATATTGGGTACTGACTGGAGGGAAAGTCATCAGAGTGCTGGGATTATAGGTATGTGTCAGAAGTCATGACTCCTAGTCTTCTGTTGCTTATCATTTGTCCAGTTCAAACTTGTTTAGTATTCAGTGCTGAAATTACACAGCACCAAACTGGCAACTCTGCTATTACATGTGTGCCTGAGCATGTGTGTGCCCATGTGTACTGAGGACAGACATAAACATCTGCCGTCATTCCTCAGATACCATCCACCTTGGGGTGTTTTTATTTTTGTTTTGCTCTCATACTCCCAATTTACTCAGGAGATCTTGTCTTTGTCTACTTCTCACATAGATTAGATCCATGTATGTCTCTCTTAGGGTCCTCATTGTTGTCTAGGTTCTCTGGGATTATGAATTGTAGGCTGGTTGCTCTTTGCTTTATGTCTAAAAGCCACTTATGAGTGAGTACATATAATACTTGTCTTTCTGGCTCTGGGTTACCTCACTCAATATGATGTTTTCTAGATCCATCCGTTTGGCTGCAAATTTCAAGATGTTGTTATTTTTTTCTGCTGTATTGTAGTCCATTGCGTAAATGTACCACATTTTCCTTATCCATTCTTTGGTCGAGGGGTATTAGGTTGTTTCCAGGTTCTGGCT